GATGGTCAAAAGTAGTAGAAAGTGATGGGAAGTACTTTCATTAATGTATTTTTTAATGCTCATGTGAAATAAATAACATTCTTTCATTAAAAAAACGCTACGAATTAATTCCAACACCTAATATTTATTTTGTACCGTTTATATATTCATTATAATAATGATGAAAAAATGTTTTAAATATATTGACTTCTTGCACCAAACATCTTACTACAGCTATATTACTGCTACAATCTTCGAGATCACACGTTGTTGAACTTTTGTCGAAACTAAATTCTACTGGATTTTCAAATTCTTCTGGTCTTTCGTTTGTATAACCACTTTTAAACCAAGAATATTTAAATAATTTGTGATATCGTGAAGATGACAATTGCCTGTATGTATTAGAGATTGTAATTTTATTATATTATTTCTTTGATGTAAATTTATATTACTTTCCAATAATAAAACAATATCTGAAAATCTTTTAGCAAAATTTTTCTAAATTCTAAATCCATAAACATCTAATGGTTGTATTTTTCCTGTGGTGCCTTTCAGTATAATCATAGTAATAATATGTTTTCCTGCAAATGTTAAATCTGAAATAATATTGGTCCAGTCCATAAATCGATAAGAAGAACGCTATTAGAACCATTGTTTGGAAAATAAGCTTCTAACCACATTTTAAAATAATCTGTAAGAAATATAAATATTAAATTAATAATTATTTTACGACTGTTATGAGATTCTTAAATAAAATATAAAATATATCAGAGAAATGATAGAGATTATAATTTTATTAGATTATTTCGTTTATGTAAATTTATATTTATTTTTTAATAGTAAAACAGTATCTGAAAATTTGTCGTGAAAGAAAATTTTTTTAATTACCTGAAGTCATTTTACCAGATTTACATGCTTTTACAATAACATTTATTGGTGTAAATAAGGTTTCTTGTACTCTTCGTCTAAATATACCATTAATTTCTTTTAATACAATAAATAAAGGTGATAGCAAATTTCCATTATACGATATTATTAATTGTATTGTGTATGAGTATGTTGTTGATGATATAGATTGCACAACACATTCTACTTTCTTTATTCCTTGATTACACAGTGATCTTCCAGAATGAATTTCTAATTGGACACATTGATCAGAATTAAAAACATTTTTAGATCCAAACTGTTCGATAAGTGGTTTCACTGTTTTCAGAAAATCATCAGCTGAATTTGCAAATTAACGGAACCTTCTATTGTTCTTCTAGTTATAAATTTTGTAATTTTTCTTGAAACAATTCGGTGGGATTTCTTGAATCTTAATACCCTGTGAGATGCTTTAAATATAGGATTTAAATTTCCTATTTCTTCTTGAGCTTGTAAAGCTCATCTTTTTTGTAAATCGATATCATGAACTATGAATCCTAATTCAGTTGTAGTAAATTTATCACTGTGTATTTAATTAATTTTTTTTATTAAATTTGGAGATGTAAGATAATTTTTCTATTCTATTTACGATTTCCACCTGAATGTATTATAATTGTTCGTCTTAATTGATGTTCAGATGAAACTTTTCTAAATTTATTTTGCACTGATTTTAGCGGACGATTCCTTTTTGTTATTTTTTTCATTAATATCCCAATTCCGCCAATACTCAACAGCTCTTTTATAAGAATTGTCAAAGTCTGCATCATTTGAACATTGAGGATGAGAATTTAAATTATCTTCACTCCATGCTTCTTCGTCATCTTCAATTAATAAGAATTATGTAGTTTTTAAGGTTCTTGATAATTGAGATAAATTTTTTTCTGTTACTTTCAACCCATTATAGTGAAAAATGCTATCCAACAATAATTTTTGTATGTGTTCTTTTAATTCTATTTCTGCTTCAGTGGTGCGACTGATGTTTCTGTTGGATATACAGAACTTATAGATGCTAATAAAAGTCTAACAACATTAAGTGGATTGATAATCATAGTCTAAAAATGTTAAACTTTGCTTTGTATCGTAATATAAAAACAATTTAATAAATTGTATAAATACGATTGACAGAACGATTGACTGAACGTAAGACTGCTACGTGAATATTTTTATACTGTCCATTTATTATAAATATCTTATGAATTTATATTACCGCACAGTTATTCCTATCATCTATTCTAAGAAACTTATCTTTTCTTTCAAAAATATGTTATGACTCTGATACGTGATATGTAATTTAGAAGGTTATTTCTTATATCTCATTACACATGACGATTGTATTTTTAAATGCAACAATTTTTTAAAAATTTATTTTTTGAAAATTCAATTTCATACAATAATTTTATTATAAAAGAATGAATTTGGAATAAAATTATTTTTAATTTTTATTCATAGAAGAAATTAATAGGTCAATTCTAAGCAGAATCGTAACTCGTAACATGTTCTCATAAAACTCATAAGAACTTATAATCAGTATTCTTTAATTTTATGCGTATCATAAGACGTAAGATTATTCATAAATATTTACGATTTCTTGTAAATCTTATGACTAATAAAAAGCTGTAAAAATATCGTATAAAGGTATAAACACTTCAAAATTCTTATAAATCTTACGAGAATATGTTACGAACTTTACAATTTTGTTTAGAATTTAAACATAAATGTCAAAGAAATAATAGGCATAAATGTCAAAGAAATAACAGGGTTAATATGTATACATATGTATATCTTAAAAGTATTATATATTTAAAAAATCTAAATATTATACATATACATACATTGTATATAAAATTTAAATATGTATATAATATAGTATATAGAAAACTATATAAATTTTATTTAAGACATCTTTTCAAGTTTTCATATATTTTCATGTGAGCATGGATTACGTATATTCGGAAGCGTTAATAATTAATTCTCGAAAATAATATGGTTTTAATTTATGGCTTTAATTTGGTAAAAAAAAATGTGGAAATTTAAGAAAATTATGGGCGGTGAGAGTATTTTGTTAAACAAAACAAATAAAAAACTTTTTTATCTATAACTTTAAAGTATTCTTGAAACTGTACAACTTTTTTTAAAAAAATTTTTTTCTATCTTTTATATTTCCGACGATATTCGCCTTGAAAGAAAAATATCGTTTTTTTTTAAAGAGTGTTTCACTCCCCCCCCCCCTTAATATGAGTTAGCGCACGTATAAAAAAATACGTCCCACGTATAAAAAATCTCTTAGATTTTTGTATTTAATAACATATCTCATAGAGAATCAAATCGGTTCCGGACAGTTGTGAATCTTCCCTTGTTAAATTAAGATATATATTGTTATAAAATTTGTATTTCAATTGAGATTACTTTATATTGATATACATTGTTATTATCCTTTGTATCAATTGTATTTTAATTACGACTATTTTATGACTATATACAGATTTTAGTTTTTTCTTAAATAATTTTAAATAGTAATTTTATTAAATTATATTGCGTCCTATTAACAGATCTCAGTATTTGATTAATATCTACAACTTCATTAAATGACTACAATATTGACTCAATTACCACGTTTGGTGACAAAGGTTTAGGGAAGGATCGTCTAAGAGAAAATAAATGTTAATGTTTCTTATTGCTTCTGTAATAATTTTACTCAGCCATTAAAAGGATATCACTTGTTCAAAATTTAAATTTATTTTTATTTGTACATTGATAATATACACGGTCGTTGTCGAAAATGTCTTATTTCTCCTTCAAAACATTATTCAAAACGTTATGACAAAATTGCGTTATCTTGTCCATTTACCACAAATGTTATCACAAAAAATTAAAAGGCGAAATCCATAGCCATTGCTCAAAATTCGAGACGATTTTAAGCTAGTGCTTGAGATATTATGAATCAATCAGAGAGCTGTATTAGTATCTTAAAACATTGCTTGAGATTATCTTGAGATTAAGAACAGACTATGGATTCCGACTAAAGAAGTAAACACTTGGCGCTGCTAGATCACATACTATTAAATAACATACTACTAAAAAGATGATTATAATATTTAGAATAAGAAAAATAAGAAATATTTTGAGAATAAGAATAAAAAAGTATCGCGTGCGTGCGCGCGCGTGCTCGATTAGGTCATACAGTAGTATAAATTGTGCAAGCTACTGGGTTTAAAATAAATAGTTTAAAATAAATAAACTTATATTTGTAAGACACGCATGAGAAACAAAAAAGAAATAAACAATAAATTTACTTTTATATATTCAATGTAACATTCAGATTAAATAATACATTATTACATTAAAATTGTAATTATCTTTTATTATTTATTTTTATTAACTATTGCTAAAATTTTTTAATTATTTTTATACTTTTTCTTATACGATCTAGCAGCGCTAAGTCTTTATTTCTGTAATTTTTAGTAGTAACATAAACTTATTGCGAAAAATATTGCCTCGGCCGGGAGTCGAACACGGATCTCTTACATTCTTATTATTGTTTATACACGCTCGCCTACAATGTATAATTTTTTATACATATCGGTTATTGCGAGGAATATTGTTAAGGTCTCGGTAATCTAAAGTCTTAGGAATGCAAGAGATCCGAGTTCGACTCCCGACCGAGGCAATATTTTTCGCAATAAGTTTATCACAGTTTTTAAGATTAAATTTGGGAAATTGGGGGGATTATTAATATTTCAGATTGATTGCGTAGGAAGTCCGACAACCATATTGGCACGCAATTATAATTTCTGAAATTAATTTATTTAAATGAATATATATAACAGTTCAACATTTTAACATTCAGACCGTAATATACTCATATAGCACTTCGTATTTAAAATAATGTATCTAATATAAACGATTTTATTTTCAATCTTATTAAAGATATATTTGTTCATAATTGACGCACGAAAACAGCGTTTGACTCTATGTAGTCATTAATATTGTACTTGATTAATTATTGTAAAGTATTTCTTGTATATTATTTTCGATTATTTGTCTGATTTTAAGCATGTTATATAAACATTTTTTAATTCATTTATTAATTTATCTATTTCTTTTTTTTTTAATAATAAAAAACCAAATTTTACCGATGATTCTTTCATACATAAGAAGACAATAGGTAGTAATTCACTCGATGCAATTAAAGAATATTATGATGTATATGAATGTATTATATCATGTAAACTTGTCTTTTGTACTAGAACGGTTTTTGCGTTGCAAGCGATTTATTATATGGAATTTGATAATTGCAATCGGTTTGATTAGTATTTGTTACAAAGTTCAAATTAAAATCCGACATGATATAGTTTGAATTTGAAATTTTTTAGTTGCTTCTTGGATTTCTTCTAATGATGTATATTGACGAGTGCTCACAAATCTTGTAATTTTTCTTTGCTTAATGTTATATCTCCGTTTAAATCTGGTGACCCAGGTATTGCTGGCAAAGAAAGTGAAATGTTTGAACAGAAATGCATTGACCATTGCCCACTGGTGCAAAATTCTCATTGTTACCTAAAATAGAAAAGCGTTATTTATTGACATATATAATATTTTTTAAATTTAATTCTGTACAATAAATATTTTCTACAATTTCATGTATCTGTTCAAGGCAATTTCTAGTTTCTTGAAATTGTTGAAAAGTTTTTATTTCTATGTGCTTTCATTTATCAAGTGTTCCATTCCGCTTTATATTTTCTTTCTACGTACGAAGCATCTTTGCTTTTTAAATGACTGAAGCCTTTTTTTTGTAAGAATCTAATAAACCATTTTGGAGTCATAAAGTCTTTTCTAACCACCTTTTCCTTATAGGCTAATGGATTGGCAACAGATTCATGAAATCGTTGCAGTTTTTCTGGCTCATACTGTATATCCGAATTAGGTTTGTCCATATTCCGTTACACTATTAGAAAAAAATTGCATTATTTTCAATTATTCTTATACAAATCACAGACATTTTATACATTCATGTAAATATCTATACAATTACATTGATTTAAGAATAATTTATAAAAATATTGGCAATAAATCAAAACATACTTCCTCGTATTCTTGTTCATCGTCAACTTCTTTGAGAGTTATTCAATTTTCATCCGTTATTATTTTTCTATCTCAATTATTAAAAATAATTTCTTTAAAAATTTCTTCATCCATCGCGATAGAAGCAACTGACATTCATTATGAACGTATCACTTAAAAGATTCTCGGCTTCGAGTAATCTTTTACAATGCCTTAAAGACAATATAGTCGGAATTATTTAGTCTCTTGACATGGCTATTTACACATTAAGAATTTATAAATTAATAATTTAATAATTTAAAAAGCTTCATGACATGTTGGGCTTTCTGTTTGAGAATCCCACTACAGTTAACTTTGAATTTATTGTTTATTTTTATTTTAAAGATTGAGAATCTGATTCTATATAAAGTAATATAAGTTTATATGAACGAAATAACATAATAAAATTACTATTTTCGATACATAATCATGTCATCCCCACGATATCACTTATTTAAATATTCGTGGTTTAAAAGTATTATAGTTATACAAATGAAAGATCAGAAGAATTTGAAAATCCAGTAAAATTTAGTTTTGACAAAACTTCAACAATATCCCTGGCGAAAAAATTTATATGCCAAAAACTATTCCTAAATACGTAAAAACTATTCCTAAATCGCGATTTGGAACACGGAAGTAATTTGGCATAGAATTCTACTCTTATGCCAAAGTGAGCCGATTCATACCTTTGTACGCCAAACACAACATGCGAAAATATGCCTAATTATGTCCGAAAACACGCTTAACTACGCTAAAAACTACGCCTAAGGACGCAAATGAACCATGGAAGAATTCTAATCCTATGTCAAAGATTTACGCTTTCCTACGCCTTCCTCCCCTTAAGCATAGTTTCGAGTACATTTACACTGTACTGTTTAAAGTAACATGATAGTAACGTGAACTCATTTGGCATGAATTCAAGATGCTATCACGTTGCCGTCATGATGGAATTAGAATTCCATCGTAACATGAGTACTTTAATATTAAAGTCTAACTTTGAGGGCTCATTTCACATGTGAAATGTTGCTCCTTATATTCTTTTCTAGATGATTCTTATTTTATACATCTCCGCCGTGGTCCTCTGTCGGCTGATAAGAGTGAAACTGGCAGCCGAATTTAGCCAGAACGCAACAGCCAAGGGCGAATAGGATGCAAGGACCCCCGTGATTAAAAAATAATAAAATACATTAAAAATCCATAACAAGCAAGTTACACATTTCAGATAGCATAAAAGTCGAAATATTAGGTGTAATAAAAAGAAATCCATTATTTTTCCAATAGATGGCTTTGCGAGATACAGATTATTAAAGCTATCTATTTGGAAAAATAATGGATTTCTTTTTACTATACCTAATATATAAAATTTATAATAATATGCAAGGGAATGGTTATTATTGTTAATCAAAAATAAATAATATTTATAAACTATTCAGTAGCCAGACCAAACGCATACGCGTAGAGACTTGGAAAAAACACACATACTCTACAAGACCAGTACAAGACGTTAACATAACGATCTGATCGTGATGTATGATTTTTGTCAAGTCTCTACGCATATGCATAGGTTTGGTCCATTAGCTGCTGAATAATTTATAAATGTTGTTTAATTTTTTTTTGTTGCCGTCATCGGTCAGATGACACAATGCGAGGTAATAGCGACAGCGATAGAAATAGCGATAGCAATAGCGATAGCGATAGGAACAACGGAATCCAACGAGAATGTATATGTCAATGCACACATATAGGAATACGGAATAAGGCAATAGCGATAAATTTCCGACAAGTTGCAATTCTATATCTATCGCCTTATAGTCTACTAATCAGCGTCCAGATTTTTCATTCTATTTATATATGCTATATATCTTGAAGCGAAAGAATATACTAGTCTATATACGAAATCAGATTGGTTGACATTTTTTATTTCTTTCGCGGCATTGTGCAACGGGAGGCGACAATCGATATTGTGTTTAGGTCTTAAGAGTAAATCCGCATAAAATGACGTAGAATGGCGTATTTTGTCACAAATTAAAAATTAAAAGGTAAATATTGTGCTTTGGCATAGTTTGGCATAGAAACACGTACTTCAGGAAACGATTTTTTCATGCAACGCGTAGATTAGTGTAGTTTGGTATAGTTATTTCTGTGCCCATTTATCAGAGTAAAATGTAATTCCGCGTAAAAAAAAGCGTAGAATGGCATACTTTCTTGACTACTATGAAAAAATCAAAATTAGCATAATTCGGCATAGAAAACGTAGTTCGAGAAATAATAATTAATTGCGCGTACTTTGGCGTATTTTTTATGCCTAATTATGTCCAAGTACATCATTTTACACCTTTTGCATAGCTTGGCGTAATTATTTCTATGTTTAACAACGCGATTCTACGCCATAGTCGTAGAAATAGAAAGACGTACTTTTTGGCATACTTTGGCATAGAAATTTTTCCACCAGGGGTGATATCGAAGATTTTGCAATAATATAGCTGTAGTAAAATGGTGGTACAAGAAGTTATTATGCTTAAAAGATTACTTCAATGAATATCATTACTGTGATGAGTAAATGATATAAAACATATTATATATAAATTAAAAAATTATTTTATTATTAAGTACGATTAGAAGTCATACGTTTAAAATAAAGAAGATATTGTTTAATTGGATGAAGATATTGGAAAATAATTAAGAAAGTAATTAAATAATTCAGTTTTATAATTTAATTATTGAGTACCTCTTTCTGTTTTGATTCTCGTTAGCCTTGAATTTATTTTTATTTTATATTACTTTCCAATAATAAATTATTTAAACGACAAGTAAATAAGATATTAAAGCATAAGACCAAAAATAACTTTAAGAGAATAATATTAAGATGGTATAAGGAAATAGATCCGTATTCAGAACGTTCTTACAACAATGTTAGCGCGCTATAGTTTATTACGCATATTATAAAATTTCAGAGACAAAAGCGCGCTTTTATCGATAAAAGCATGTTCTGAATATGGATTATAATGTATAAGCAATAAATAACAAAAATGAATGAAAAACAAAGGTTTTACTCACTTTATAGAGAAATAATAAAAAAGATAAAAACTATTACTTATAACTCTTATTGTTAATGTTATTTATAATCTGTAATATCTAGAAATATAAATTCCTTATTCATTGATTTCTTTTATTGTTTCGGCAATAATTATTTATATACGTGAGCACAAATAGCGTATATACAGAAGAGTTTATAATTAATTATTAAAAATGATATGTTTCTAGATAACATTTAATATGATCTCATATAACTCTCACACGTGAGTATCAGATTGTGCGTGCAAGAACGCCATTACATCGCTCTCATGATATGATGGTCTCACCCATGCGAGCGTAATAATAGCATTATGCAATCCATGCGTGATGGAACATACGTGTGAGTGTAAAATGTTATCTAAAAATGGTATCTGATTATATATTTAAAACAATTATTATAAGTCAATGGAAGAACTGATATTCGTCATGCATGATCATCACATTGTGCACGCAAGATCGCTATCGTATTGCCCATCACGCGTGATGAAGGCATACACGTGAGAGGCATTACGCCATCACGCATGAAGGGAGAACACTTGTGTGACGTATTAGAAGCAAAAGATTTAAAACAAAATCACACTATATTTGTGAACATTTAAAATATATTATCACAAAATATAAAAACAGATGAAAAATAGGTGATGAGTATAAATTTTACTTTTAATCAATTCTTTTTTGCTTCTCAATCGATTACTTGCGGCGCGCGACATTGGCCAAGCGAAATTAGATTATTCGATTCTTACCCAATGTTATCTCTATTGTAATGTAAATTGTTTATATTTTATTATATCTGTTAAATGATAATATTTTTATTGTATCTATGTATTTTTTTCGTGCGCTGGTTTAGCTGGTTATAATTGAATAAATAACATACTTATCAATTGAAGAAATGATGTAGTCGCAGAAGATTCATAATCCAGAAGTCCTAGGTTCGAATTCTAAATAAGCGTTTTTTAATATCAATTTGAAGTAGTTAATTTCAGGTATAGATAATATTATATATGTCTTAGGATTTGTAAACCTTAAATATGACTAATATTTTTTTTCGAATATCAAACTAGTGTACACGTGTGCGAATGATATGAGGACGCATCTGAGTGCGTATGAAGGTCACACGCGTGCGAGTACTCGCTCGTGTGCATGCACCATGCGATCGTTATGTGAGCATTTTGTTATCTGGGTAATGTCAGCAGTACGGTCAAGTTTTATAACTCGAAAAATGTTTAACAAAAAAATACTTTATTATATTGGTCTGAAAACCTCGACTTTAGCTACAAGAAAAAATAGTATACTACGCAATAAAAAATAGTGGTTCCTATTTAAAAAATTCATGTTGACCTTGACTCGATCTTGGTAAAAAAAAAATATATGTACAAAATCCGTTCTTTCCTCTTTCTTTCCTCCAAAGAAATTTTTGTATAAAACAATAATAAATGATTTATTATTTTATATAAAACTTTTTCCTGTTATAAACGCAGTGATCATCTCCAACATGTGCGGATTAGAATATTGTTTATGAAAATTATATAGTATTGCTGATGGTGATTCACAATAAACCAAAACGTTAAAAAAATTTGTTATCAAAAAGTATTGTAAAATTATATTGAATATATTTTTGTATTGATATGTTCCAAGTACCGCACCGTATATGCTCTCATTGCTCGCTAATTAATATTTTTTATTGTTTTTCCTGTATGCCTCTTAGTTTTTGAGATATTAGGTGTAGTAAAAAGAAATTCATTATTTTTCCAATAGATGGCTTTAGTAATCTGTATCTCGTCTACGCGTGATACAGATTGCTAAAGCCATCTATTGGAAAAATAATGGATTTCTTTTTACTAAACCTAATATAATATTTGCCTGGGGCAATTAAAATGCCCCACCGTGTATATACAGCAGTGCTCGGAATTAGTTGCCCATTTCGGACAGATTTCTGAGGCGATTCCCACTACCATTCGAGACTCGGCGGCCAAGCCCACGTGACGCTGTGCCCCAAGAGCGATACAAAAAGTATGCTGGGAGCATATCTTCCGACAAATATCATTAAAATATTTTCTTTCCTACATGATTAATAATTGCTTACTATATTATTGCTTATTATATTATTGTAGAATATACACATAATATGTTAATAATAAAAAATTTAAATATTAAAATAAAAATCATGTAGGAAAGAAAATATTTTAATAATATTTGCCGGAAGATATGCTCCCAACATACTTTTTGTATCGCGACGCTCCTGGAGCACAGCGTCACGTGAGTTCGGCCGTCGAGTCTCGAGTGGTAGTGAGGGTCGCCTCAGGAATCTGTCCGAAATGGGCAACTAATTCCGAGCACTGGTATATAGTATAAATTTCGGCATCACTCATCCTGAGCAGGTAGAGCGAACTAAACTGAGTCGAAAAGTCTTTTACCATTTTGCAGTTTGCACAATAGTTAACAAGATATTAACATTATTTAAATTGAAATATTTAAGCATTAAAGATCTAGCTCCGATCACTATTTCTATTTTTTATTGTCGAATTTTCAAATGCACGATCCAGTATAACAATAAGATTCTTAACTTTTGTTTAAAAAATTTTTGTCCATCTTTTATACTTCCAATGATATTCAGATTGAAAGAAAAATACCATTTTTTTTTTAAAGAATGTTTCACTTAAACATGAGTTAACGCATATATAAAAAAAATACGTATCTCTTGATTTTTGTGTTTAATAACATATTTCATGAAGAATCAATTCGGTTCCGGACAATTGTAAAACTTCTCTTGTTAGTATAACTGAAACCCTGATTTCTTCTTTTATGCTTTTAAGTTCTTCTTAAAATAAATTAAGTTTTCTACCTTCTACACTAGTCTCCCTGTATTTATTAGATAACACATTGGTAAATTAGTATGCTAAATTAATCTAAATAAAATGGCATAATGTAATCAACTTTGATAATAAAATAATATATGTATATTTTGTTAAATCATGTTATAATATTGTATATTTCATTATACAATATTTGACTAATCATTTAAAAAATATACATATATATATATATGGGATGTTTCGCGTTCAATGGACCACCTCTCTTTCCAAAATTTGATGCAACGGAAAAAACCGTTTAAGGTCTCAAATTATTCGCACATTTGTGTACTTTTGAATGAAACGTGGCCTTTTGAAAAAAATCAATATAGCGGCTCAAATATGGTGTCTGAAATTCGTAAGAGTTACGAATGTTCTTACAACATCGTTGATTTAAATGTGAAAACTTGATAAATTGGCTCAAAAATGATTACTATAAAGTTTAGATAAGTTATACTTATCGTTTAACTTGCAAGTAATGCTATACTCTGATGCCATTGAATCAATAGTCGCTATAAAGTATTAAACTCGACAAACAACAATTATGAACCATGACACTTTAAGTTTTATGTACTGATTCCAAATCCGCCATGTTGAACTTTATAATTCTATCTCTAGGTTCGTAATCATTTATACTATATACTATAATATATATTTATACTATAATCATTTTCAAGCCGATTCATCAAGTTTTCGCATTTAAATCGACGATTTTGTAAGAACATTCGTGACTTTTGTGGATTTCAAACACCATATTTGAGCCATCATATTGAATTTTTTAAAAGACAATGTTCATTCGAAAGTAACACAAATGTGCGAATATTTTGAGACCTTAACGGTTTTTTCCGTTGCGTCAAATTTTGGAAGAAGAGGTTAGGGAGTGGCCCGCTTGATACGAAACGTCCTATATATACTTTTACTTTTAACATAGCTGATTTTATGTGTAACAGTTTTTAGCATGTCCTTTTTATACAACTGATCAAATTCACTATATGAATTCAGTCAGTAATTCTAAATCTTATATCAAGAGATCATTATATGTATACAATTATCTTCTTATATAGGTATGACTTGTATATAGACACAACTATTTAAATTCACTGAATAATTTAATATCTTTATAGTGCAGCAAACAAATTTGGTGAGTTGGCACCTAGAGTTGGTTTCTTTCATGACTTCCAGAAAGGTGAATTCTTAGTGAAAAAATGGAATAACAAAAAGGAAGATGTTAGTTCAGAATGTAAGTAATCAGGATTATTATTAATAATGCGAAATTCAAGTTCTATATGAAATCTTCAAACAGCTGTACCTGACGAGACAGTTCAGAGGTTGAAAGATAACATAAAAGAGTTGAACAGGTATTTAGGATCATATCCATACGAGATATCGAAATCTTGGACAAAATTAACAAACGACATTACTGCATCTATCATGACGAGGTGTTCGCCATTATGTGGGTAAGTAAGATGTAGGTCTTGTCTACTTGAAATTTAAAACTTAATGTATGTAACTCTATTGGAATAATATGTTTTAGTTATGTGCGATCCGCTTTGGAACTGGAGCACTGCAACGACGCTTCGAGACCACGTGGCCGAGAATCCGATAACAAACGAAAAAATTCCGGTAGACTCACGGCGGAGGATAAGGAAGAGCAGATGCTGCCGAATCTAAAACCGAAGCCTGGTACAGAACTCAGGCTTACAGAAATACCAGACAGACATTATCCCGAAGATGCGACTCCAAGCGAGATAACGCGGCATTCTCTTGATACTAGTTATGTTTTGGATATCACTCTAAAAAAATTGCGAGAGTAAGTTCGGAATTGAAATTTTAGATCTTAAAGACTAAAAGCGAGAAAAATATGATCGGTGAGAAAAAACGAGTTTTGTATGAATATTTAAAGTTCAATTGTTTTAGACCTATCGAAATTATCGGGGAAATGCAGCTGACGTTTATTTGCTTCCTAGCTGGTCAGAGCTTGGATGCTTTCGAGCAATGGAAGAAACTCATATCGCTGATTTGTGGCGCCGATAACATGATTCCACAATATCGCTCTATATATATAGAATTTCTGCATGCCCTGGAAGAAGAATTATCATACGTGCCAGAAGAAGTACTCTGCGACATTGTAGCGAGCAATAATTTTGTATATCGTAATCTGTACAACTTATTCGGTAATATCGAGTCAAATTCTGAGGTGGACGGTCGATTGAAATCGTACGCCAAGCGTTTACAGGGTCGATTGACCGCCAAGTTTTTGTGGGACTTTTCGAATTTACTCGAAGAGGCGGACGATGAGGCGCCTGTTATTGTCACTTTGTCAAACACAAATAAATAAACAATAATAAATGATTTATTAAAACCATATGAATACACAAGCAAGAATATTAAAACCTGTAACGGTCAAAGCTGAATCTTTAATGCTTTAAATAATCCAATGTGAATTATATACATATGTACATGCATATATACAGGATGCGTCATCAAAATCCGGACAAATCGAAACAATTTCTTTAAACAAAATGTTTTTAATGAAAAATTAAAAATTAAAAAATCCTTTTACATGGCACTTGGGGGATTCCTGTAGAGTACAATTATTTAATATATCCCCTATTAGCTTGAAATGATGGCCTCTATTCTCGGTCTGAAGCGTTCGCACGCACACTGTAATGTAGCGCTGTCCATGCCGACGAATGCTGTTTTAATAGCGGTCCTTACTGACGTCACATTGGGATGCCGAGACTTGTTTATAACCCTTTCAACTACATTCCATACGTAGTAGTCCAAGGAATTTAAATCTGGGTTGGGAGAACTCCTTGGACCAAAACATATCGACGCTGTCTGAGAGCCAATTTTGAATAATGACGCGTATGAGCTAGTGTACCGCTGGTGGCCTGCTGAAAAAGATATGGCCTTCCGAACGCCACAGTTTCCATTCACGGTTTTACTACATCAAAACGCGCAACGATTGCCCTGGGTCATCCGAAATCAGCGCTTAAGTCCTTTTAACGACTGCGGAAGTCCTTGCGGTGCGTTTCTTTCAAGTGACTCTTCCTCGCTGGCATACTAGAATCTTCGTTGAACTGTTCTAAAGCTGTATATTTTACAACATAACATCATAAATGATTGATCTCGGATATCCAAAGAACCGAATTATTTCCGTTGCTAAGCACCCAGTTCGAAGATCACGGCTTCAATGATCGCGGCTCTTCGATTATACTATCGCACTTGGTTTCAACATCGCCATTTTATAAGAGAATATGAATTGACTGTTTACTAGAAACATCAGGCTTTCTCAGATGCCAACAACAACCTCTGGCGGAGGTACAATATAGCAGAAAATTTAAATTGAAATTTGTCCAAATTTTGATGATGCACCCTGTACTATATTTGTAGTCATTCGAATTGTACGCATTAGTTTTCCGGAGTCCAGACTTGTAAACACAATTAAACTGCTGTAATAATGTCACAAATTAAATTAAATAAACAAGCAAATTTTAATAATTTGAT